TATTTTGAGATATTTTGATATATTTTGAGTTAATTTGATATATTTTGAAAAACTTTGATATATTTCGAGATACTTTGATATATTTTCAGATACTTCGATATATTTTTAGATACTTTGAGGTGTTTTTTACCTTCCTAACAAGTGTAAATCTTCCCGTTCTTCAATTTTTTAACTTCAGTTATCTCACAACATTGGGGAGGTTCGCCTATCTTTTACTTGCAGTGACTCATTTAATGAACTCATTCACTCGTTCATTTTTTCGTTCTTTCATTCGTTCTTTCATTCGTTCTTTTATTCATTCATTTATTCAATCAGTTATTCACACTTTAATTTGTATCTATATTTCCCCATTACAAAATTATTAATTAGGTCGTTAGTATATTTTTTTCGTTAATTAATTAGTTAGTTAAGTTATTCCTTTATACATTCTTATGTTCATTCGTTCGTTCATTAATTCATTCATTCGTTCATCTATCCATTCATCCATTCATCCAACCATCTTTTCATGAATCATTCATTCATTCACTCATTTATTCATTGATCTACTAAAACTATACCACCAATAATGCTTAAAAAATAATATTTATTTATTTGTTTTATCATTTATCCATCCATCTATCCAATTCCATCAATCAATCCTCCAGGTACCTGCTAATCTATACATACATACATACATACATACATACATACATACATACATACATACATACATACATACATACATACATACATACATACATACATACATACATACATACATACATACCTACATACATACATACATACATGCATGCATGCATACATACATACATACATACATGCATGCATACATACATACATACATAAATACATATGCACATATTATAGTTTGTATGCAAGTAAACATATACAGAACATATATGTGTGTGTATGTATATTCATCCTCATCATCACAACCACTATCATCATCATCATCACCATCACCATCATCATCATAAGCATCATTATAAACATTATCATTTGTAGCATTGCAGACAATGTAATAGAGATACCATACGCTTATCTTAAACAAGTTTATAGGTAAGTATGTGTGTATGTTTGTTTGTTTGTATGTATGTATGTATGCTTGTATGTATGTGTGTTTTTGGATGTATATATTTACTATGTATGTATGTATGTTTGCATGTTTGTGCACTGTATGTATGTTCATGTGTTTGTATGTTTTATTGTATTCTTTACACTTCGCATTTACAACCATCTGTATTTATCTCGTAATATGCAGTCGATTTTTAATCATCTCCATTATGAAGCTGCTGTTTATTTTATTATTAACAAACCAACAGACAAACATGCAAACAAATGAACAAACGAACATACAAACGGGCAATTAAACAAGCGAACAAACGAAGTCATCCAACCAACCATCCATCAAACAATCAAGCAACAAAAAAGTAAACCAACAGACAAACAATTAAATAGATAAATTAACGAGCAAACGAACGAACAAATGAATGAACAAACGAACAAATGGATGAACGAACGAACAAATAAATGAACGAACGAACGAACAGATGAATGAACGAACGAACAGGATATATCAAGCGCATCTGACGATCAATACTAGAGCGTACGTTCGGCTAAGGTATGCTTGCACAAATTTTTGTATGAATTAGGTGTACAACCACAACAATATCACCACACACACATACACACGCACACACACACACACACACGCACGCACGTACAACATAAACAACATTCATATACTGTATTATTTTAAATAAACATTTTATCAATATTGCAAGCCTGATATATAAACTTGAGTTAGTGAGTGTGTACATTTGTGTATGTGTGTATGTGGGTGTGTACATTTGTTCATATATGTATGTGTGTATGTATGTATATATATATATATGCATGTATGTATGCATGTATGCATGTATGTATGTATATTTGTATGTATGTATGTATGCATGTATTCGTGTATGTATGTATGTACATATGGAATGATAATTTGATATACATAGTGTTGGCAAGCATGCATTTACTTCCAGATATTTGAAGAGGAAGAGCAGCGAGCTAGCATTGCCAAATGCGTTTTGCACATACAACAATAAAAACAACAACAATAAAAACAACAACAACGATAATAATAATAAGTTTAATATACAATTGTACCAACATCGCCAGCAACAACTTTTGTATTATAAACTATTAAACCAACAACAACGTTAGCACTACTAAATATTTTAGCCAACAACAACAACAACAAACAACATCAATAACATTATCATTTCTACATCATCGTCATCTTCATCTTCATCACCATAAAAATCATCATCATCATCGCCATCTCGATCGTCGTCATCATCATCGTCATTGTCATCCTCGTCGTCGTCATCATTGTCGGATGTTGTAGCATACACGGCACGCAACAACAACAACAACAATAAAAATAACAAGAACAATAATAATAATCATCATCAACAGCAGTAGCAGCTTAAGAAGCAGCTGCAGCAGCAGCAACAGCAGCCGCTCCATCGTCAGCTCTTGTCCTGTATACCCGGACATCTTGCGGATAATTGTCAAATTGTGGTGAACAAAAATTTGTTTTATAAATTTCAATTTCTAGTCTGATTTTTGGCAATTTGTAGTTAAATTCGTTGAAATTGTTTCATATAATCGGTTTTTTCGTAGTTTTGAGATCGTTTTTAGCGTATTCTCTGTCTGTGCATGTTGGCTCTTTTATATAAAAGTGTCCGGGAGAAAATTTCGTTCTAGCCACCAGTGTTTCAAATTAGTTTCTCTGTTGAAACTGTAGTCTTAGTCAAGTTAAGCGCTGGTTGTTTAACTCGTTTATAATTGAATAGAAGTTATTAAAATCCAAAATAATTCTTTTTTGCAATCGCGATAGAAAAAAAGGATTTAATTGGTCGTTTGATTGAAGGTAAGTTGGCTGATTGGTCGGCTTGTTGATCGAGTCGTTGGTTGATTGGTTGCTGGATTGATTGATCGGTTAAAGGATTGATGTACACATGGAGATTTTTAAATACACTTTTCATAGACGGGTTTTTTAACAGCTTAAAATAGAAAATCCACTTGTTTTTTACTTGTTTGTCGGTCGGTTGCCTTACGTTTTTGACATGTTTGACTTGCGTTTGGAAGGGTTGATGGATAGATTGACTGGTCTGTTGGTTGATTGACTAGTTTGCTAATTGATTGGTTGATTGATTAATTTGTTGATTGCTTGGTTGATTGATTGATGGATTGATTGGTTGATTGATTAGCACGTTAAAACAAATGTTTATTTTGATATTGAATTTTTTATCATCATCTATTAGATTTAAATTCGCCATTTTAATCTCGAAATATAATTAAATAATTTTATCAGATTAGTATTCTTATTATATTTATTATTATTCCTATTATTAGCTCTGAGTTAGTTGTTGTTATTACTTTCTACCCCAAAAATGAGCCTACCCCAGCTGGTTTGTGTAGATTTCAACAGGAGTTATAAATCAAGCCAAGTTATTTCAAATATCAATTACTCTCTCTACTAAATGTAATTACAACAACTACTACTACTACTACTACTACTACTGCTGCCGCTGCTTCTACTACTACTACTACTATTACTATTACTACTACTACTACTACTACTTCTGTTGCCGCTGCTGCTGCTTCTACTACTACTACTACTACTACTATTACTATTACTACTACTACTACTACTACTACTTTTGCTGCCGCTGCTGCTGCTTCTACTACTACTACTACTACTACTATTACTATTACTACTACTACTACTACTACTACTATTTCTGCTGCCGCTGCTGCTTCTACTACTACTACTACTACTACTACTACTACTATTACTACTACTACTACTACTACTACTACTACTTCTGCTGCCGCTGCTGCTGCTTCTACTACTACTACTACTACTACTACTATTACTATTACTACTACTACTACTACTACTATTTCTGCTGCCGCTGCTGCTTCTACTACTACTACTACTACTACTACTACTACTATTACTACTACTACTACTACTTCTGCTGCCGCTGCTGCTGCTTCTACTACTACTACTATTACTATTACTATTACTACTACTACTACTACTACTACTACTACTTCTGCTACTACTATTATCGCTGCTGCTACTGTTGCTGCTACTACTTCTACTAATACATCTTGTGCTAATATTACTGCTACATTTATAGATTCTAATGAGGCTACTATTACTTTTTTTAAACTCGATTGAGATGCTACGACTTAAATATTTTTAGTTACTAATCAATGAAATCTAATTGCTTTAATTTTCTACTTACTTATTTATCACAGTGTCACGGCAAATTAACATCGAAATTATTTCAAACATACTGGTAAATATTAAAGTATCCAGTAAAAATTTCTCCATTGAAATAGTATTATAAATGCCTCTCATCATCTTTAAGATACCGACAAAAGAATCGAGTCCTGCAAGTATTCGTTAGAAGTTTCGGATAATTTGAAACAGCTCAAAATTTGCTCTTTGTCATTTTGCTTCGATATTTGACAACAACATTGTCATCATCTACAACAACAACAACAAATTTACTTCCACTACTACTATTACTACCACACAACGACAACAACAGCAGCAACAACAACACAGCAAAAATTACTTCTACTACTAGCTTAGTATAACGTCACCTACTAAATCTTCTTCAGCAAAAGTACTACAACTAACTTCAACAACTGCCAAAAACAAAAAAACAATAATAATAATAACTGGTTACAATATTAATAATAATTGTTCTCAAAACAACAACATCAACAACAACTGCAGCAGCAGCAACAACAACAAAAGGACATAACCATACAAACAACAGTAATAAACATCAACAACAACAATATTAAACAACAACAACAATAATAAACAACAACAACAATAATAAACAACAACAACAATAATAAACAACAACAATAATAATAATAAATAACAATATTAATAACCCCACAACAACAAAAACAAGATGGGTTGTAGTATGAGCGCTGAAGACAGACTGGCTGTTGAGAGGAACAAGCAGATCGAGAAATCCTTACGGGAGGATGGCCAACAAGCTGCCAAAGACATCAAACTCTTGCTGCTAGGTCTGTAGATGTCGCTTTCTCTCTTTTTGTCGCCATTACGGTTTACTATTAATATTATAATAATAGTAATTAATGATTAATTACTATTATTATAATGATAGTAATTAATAATTAATTACTATTACTATTATTGTAATAATTAATTATTAATTTCTATTATTATAATAATAGTAATTAAAAATTAATTAATTAATTAATACTAATCAAATACTAAATACTAATATAAAGTTTCACGATCGGTTATTCTTATTGCTATAACTAATTAATATTTATTATTATTATTATTTGTATTGTTATTATTATTATTATTATTATTATTATTATTTTCCAGGCGCTGGTGAATCCGGAAAAAGTACCATTGTCAAGCAAATGAAGTGAGGCTCGATTACTATTTTTAATAATAATAATAATTATTATTATTCTTTTTATTATGACAATTATTATTAATAATTATCATAATATAATAATAAGAATTATAATGATTACTTTATAGAATTATACACGAAGGCGGTTTTACGTCTGAGGATAACAAACAGTTCAAGCCGGTGGTCTACAGCAACACCATTCAGTCGTTGGTGGCTATAATCAGGGCTATGTCCATCCTACATATTGAGTTCGGTGACCCCGAGAGAGAGGTCAAGTTGGTGTGGGAGAGTAATGCATATAGTTTTTGTTGTTGTTTGTCGTTTCGTTAGTGTGATTTTCATTATCTTGTTGATGCTGCGGCTGTCATTACAGCGATATCCATCTTATACTTTGAGTTTGGTGACCTCGGGAAAAAGGTCAGAGGTCAATCATGATGGTAATAAACTTGCAGACGGACGCAAAATTGATCCTGGACGTGATACAGCGGATGGAAGATACGGAACCCTTCACGGATGAGCTGCTGGCCGCCATGAAACGATTGTGGGCAGATTCCGGAGTTCAGGAATGCTTCAATAGGAGCAATGAGTATCAGCTTAATGATTCCGCTAAATAGTTTAGTCTATTTTTTGTGAAGTCTATGCTGACTGTTTTGTTGTTCAAATTTGTTGATGTTTTTTTTTCATAAGTGTTGGTGAGACGAGTGATGATGTCGACGAACATCTCCAAAACTGCATCTCCAAACTGGCAAACACATTTACACAAAACATACTAACCCTGACCATAACTCTAACCTTACCATTCCGATGAATTATCATCCCTAGCTCCTTTTCCTCCTCTACATTTTTTAGTGCTGTGTCTCCAAGTTTGAATACGTTTGTCTTGTTGTTTGCTCTCATATGTATGACTGCACATTTGTTGTTGTTGAATACCATCTGCCAATCTTCTGCCCATTTGCATATTTTTTTCAAATGGCATGCTACAATTTCAATATCTTCATCGTTGTCTACAACAGCACGTAATTTAATGTCATCTGCAATTTTTGAAATTTTAGGCTTCATTCCTAGATCAATATCGTTGATGTAGATTACAAATAGCAACGGTCCTAATACGGACCCTTGAGGAACCCCACTTGTAACATTGCTCCAGTTTGAGAAACTTTCTCCAACACCAACTTTTTGCCGTCTATCTTGTAATCAGTTAGAAACCCGCTTGAGTGTGTTTCCTGTGATTCCACAAATCAAACAGACATCCACAAAGCTTACGTAGAACTCACGGAGAAATACAAATCCTACAGAAAACACAAATACAATGACAAACAAACATACAAACAAACAAAGACATATAAACAAACGAACAAAAACATACAAACAAACGAACAAAGACAAACACGCAAATTTTCAGTTTCTTGGATGATATAGATCGCCTGGGTTCTAAGGATTACATGCCAACGGAGCAGGATATCCTTAGGACTCGAGTCAAAACCACAGGGATTGTCGAAGTCCATTTCAATTTCAAGAATCTGAATTTTAAGTTAGCGCTACATAATCCGTATTTTTTGTTGTTTAAACTTCTGGAATTTTTCGTTCTAAAGAATTGAAATTTTTTCAAAAATTTTGTGTCTGTGACGACTATTTGAAATATATTTTAACACAAAAGAAAATATAAAATTTTAAATTTTAATATTGATGATATTAACTATTATGACATAATTTAACATAGATTAACATAAATTAACATAATTTATAATTCCAATTCGTCAGGTTATTTGATGTGGGTGGGCAGAGGTCGGAGCGTAAAAAATGGATCCATTGTTTCGAAGATGTCACTGCTATCATCTTCTGCGTCGGAATGAGTGAGTACGATCAAGTTCTACACGAAGACGAAACTACTGTTAGTATCGTCTCGTATCGATTTGCCTCGTTTTGTTTTAGTTTATCTTGTTTCGTTTCGGTTTGATTTGTGCCAGTTAATTTTCAATCTCGATTTCTCTCTAGTTGGTTTTGATTGTTGGAGGTTGTTTTTCGTTTCAAAGTTCCAACGTTTGTAAATTTCAATTTTTGAAAAAACAAATAAGAACAGTTTCTGAATTTACACTACCACAACGACCACACAAACTAAAACGACCACAACGACCACAACGACCCCAACGACCACAGAATCGCATGCAGGAGAGTTTGAAGCTGTTCGATTCCATCTGCAACAACAAGTGGTTTACAGACACCAGTATCATTCTCTCCTCAACAA